ATGAGCTGTATATTTGCTATAATGTGAGCACCTTGATGAGGGGCCCTACAAAAGTTCACCATCAAAGTGATGTGGATGTGTCAGTGCAATCAGGGATGAGTAAACAAATGATTTAGCTCTTTATCTAAAAAAATGTCTTCATATTTCATTATCAGCTGCATAGTGAAAGAGTGACATGGCTTTATTTTTGCATCCAGGAGGGCATTTCCAGGTGGGAGAGATACGCAGCATTCATAAAATGTACAGATTATCCGCCCACAACATATCAAAGTACAAAACAAATCAAACAGGATTAAGAAACAGTGTGACACTGCCCTCTAGTGTCTAAAGCGTAGTTGTTTTAAATACATTTTTATATAACCATATTATAACCTTGTGAATTAAAATGTCATTGTAATTCTCATATTAGTGAATAGAAAGATAGTAAAGCTCAAATTTAAAACACTTTAATCATCTTATCTCTCAGTCGTGAGAGAGAGAGAGATACTCACACAGGTGTACATCCCTCCTGGTATTCTGGTATTTCCTTTGAACTCTGGCTTCAAGATAGCAGCAGATATCAGCATGAAAGGACCTCCCCACCTGTGATGCCGCGTGAACAGCAACAGTGTAAGTGAATAGCCTCATGCTGCCTTCGCCTGCCATGAGGGCTCGGTCGTTCCCTCATTTATTTGTTATCAGATTATTGACAATGAGAACAAGTGTTTCATTCGTCTCAGTTAGATGAACAGCAGCTCAGATGGAAAGGACACAGATACCTGTTCCATGAGTCATATTGTTGTGGGGCTACTCACGTTTGTTGCATTTATCTCAAAGCCTGCAGACTTGAGATATAAGTTAATGGTTGAATGAGAAAGCAAAGACTCAGAACAAACTAGTTTGACTGAATTTGTTTAATTAATTTCCAGAGGACAAAAAAGGGGAACTGGAGCACTCTTATGAACTCACAGCCTTTTATTGAGCAAACACGCTTTGTTTCAGCATTAATGTGACTTTATGAAAGTGGACAAAGACATGAGGCACAGGTGTAATCAACCTAAACCAGATGTAGAGTTGTTGTTGGGTAATTGGTTGAACAAGGTTTTGGATCACTTGTCTGATAGGGTGGGAGTTGCCAAAATCAGCAACTAACTGCCATCCCACTAATTCCATCATCACAACTCAATTTCTAGTTTGTACATCCTCGATTATTTTCCTTGATGCCCGTCATAACTCTTGGTCCCTCCCATCAGAGATCAAAGTGGAGGAGATGAAGAAAAGACATGAGCAGAGATGAGTAAACAGGAGGAAACAGGCATTTAACAAAATGGGTGGCATATATTGTGGTTTAGGGGTATTTATTATCTACACACATTTATTCAATTCAATTCAATTTTATTTGTATAGTGCATATTTACAACAACAGTCATCTCATAGCGCTTCACAAAGGCAGAGACAGAAACACCCAACAATCCAAAACATTTGGATTCCCTATAAGCTTCAGCAGTCCGCAAGCAGTCCGCAATAAGTGGGAAGGAACCGAAAACCCCCACAGGGGAAAAAAAACCTCCAACAGAACCAGGCTCAGGGAGGGATGGCCATCTGCCTCGACCGGTTGGGTGAGAGTGGGATGAATTATACAATTTAGTTTACAGTTAAACAAGTTATTAGAATTTTATCAGTTTACTTTAGGAGTTGAGATGTCCTCTGTGATGTTGCACCAAGATTGACTTCAGGATGATAGAGGACATTGGAGACAAAGGGCTGCAATTAGTCAGATGAGATGAGCCTCATGTCAGAAACAAAGGAACACAGAGAAAAAGTACAAAAATGACCAGACAAACATCGGGCAAAGGTGACAACCCTAAGAAAATCATGACAAATCAAACAATTCATTTATGTCAGAGGGCTTACATCCTGTCAGAAACAAAACAAAGGAATACAAACTTCTTGTGAAGTCCTTCTCCAGTCACTGATTTAGCCTGAAAACTCATCTCTGTGTGTCAGAGTTACAAGTTTTATATCTATGAAATTAATCCCCTGGCTTTGTGTGCTTTAGTCCCTTTTTGTACTCTGGAAATTTTCTGTCCTTGAGCACCTGATTCAGATGCATTTGCTGAAAGATGCACAGAGAACCTTGTTGTTGTTTTTTTCTTTTCATTTTACTATAATATTTGGGCTTATTTTGTTGGCGGCCACTAGTCAGATTTTTTTTTTTAACCTTAACTGAAATTTTACTAGCTTGAGCCATAAAACTCTAGATTATTTTTAAAAACTTTTCCCTAAAAAGACATCCAGCTCCCCAAATGTGAGACCAAAGTAAACAACCTTGTGTTCTACGGATAAGATGCATTTGAAGGAATCCTGAAATATATTATGTATTCTTGTTCTTATCACTAGGACAGAGTGAAATTCAACAAATAACTGCAGCGAAAATTGACATTTTTACTTCTGCCTATGCAAAAGTGTGAGTTAGGGAGTAAATAATATCTTTATCACAATTAGTCAGTGACACTGATGTTGATGAATCTGTTTAAAAATGTCTAAAACCTGGAACTCCACAACATCCACTTTTTATCATATAAGCACTAGAGGATATCTTCAGTGAATGTGCCACACAACCATAAAAAAATTATGGCTATTTTTAACCTAATTCATTTTACAGCTAAGATTGTTTGTTTCTTTGTTTGTCTTGTCTTGTTTTTCTTTGAACACAGATCTAACGAGTAAGTCCCATAGATCTATCAAAGTAAGTTGCAGTTCGTATCCTTTCATTCAGGCACTTGGAGCTTCAGGTTCAATATCACTGGATTCTGCCTAAGTCTCATTTGCAGGTGTGTTGTTGTGCAGACTTGTTCCAGTCTTGTGGTTCATTGAGCTGGATTTAGAAAGAGCACTTTCATCCCATTTATAGTTTCCTTGCAACCATTAAAACTATGTGTAAGCTAAATCTTTGGTGTCATGAACAAGCCTAAGGTAAGTTCAATTCCCAGTAGAACCACACCTCTTGCTGAGGACTTCCAGTAAAGTAATATCTATTGATGTCTTTTCTTTTTTTTTTCTTTTTTTGTAGTTTTCTAAATGTTTCCACTTCTTATTCACAGTCATTATATTTATCCCTAACTTCTGCTTTTCTCTCACTTGGAGAATCTTGTGCCAAACAAGCTGATAGTATTGTATTAATATAGGTGATACAACTTCTAATTATTGTTGTTGGATTACTACAATTAAATACTGTTACATGGAGTTTATTATTTTAAGTTATTGTGTTTTGTCCAGTTTAGGTCACAAGAAGTCAGGGTATTTTTTCACGCTGTCTTTAAAGTTCCACTCCAGTCATTAATTACATTCTTAAAAACTTCTCTCTGTGCATTAAAGTTACTTATTTAAAGGTCTTTTTTTATTAAAATAATTCCTTGCCTGTCTTAAAATGGCCTAGATTCAAAGCTACATCATTGCTCGCTTTAGAATATGCAGATCTATGAAGTCTCTGCCTCTTATTCTACCTCCACCAACTCACCTACAACTCTGTTCAACTCTGTAAAACTACTCTGTACTACACAATGACAAGGTGTAACACTGGAGTGATTCAGCCATACTTGTTTGAGTAATTCTGAATAAGAATGATGATACAGAAAGCTCCACCTTGTGAACTGACAGCACAGATTCCTTTGATCGTTATGTATGAAACCGCAAAAATCAGATTCCATGTTTCATGAGACTGTCTTCGGTGCACTGCAGTTTCAAGGTGGAAATGCTGAGTCATGGGCGTTGACTGTTTATTCTTCTCATGGTGCATTTTCTAGCATGTAAAAACACCATGTTTACAAGAAAAACTTGATCGTCACTAGAGAGGGTCTTTAAAGCCATTTATAGGTAGCATGCTCAGGGGAGGGCTGCAAGGTGGCGCAGTTGATAGCACTGTTGCCTCGCAGCAAGAAGGTTGCCGGTTCACGTCCCGGTGGGGGCACCGGAATCTTTCTGCGTGGAGTTTGCATGTTCTCCCCGTGCAGTGGGTTCCTCCCACACAGTCCAAAAACATGTTGAGGCTAATTGGTGATTCTAAATTGTCCGTAGGTGTGAATGTGAGTGTGCTTGGTTGTCTGTCTCTAAGTGTGGCCCTGCGATGGACTGGCGACCTGTCCAGGGTGTCCCCTGCCTTCGCCCTAAGTCGGCTGGGATAGGCTCCAGCCCCCCCGCGACCCTAGTGAGGATTAAGCGGTGTATAGAAAATGGATGGATGGATGGATGCTCAGGGGAGAGACATGCTTGTTGCTCAAACCGAGGTCAAGGGACATACAGGGGCCATGTGCAGGTCAACAAACTGTACTATTCTTTCCTGCCACAAGGAGGAGATATTTATCTGTTGCAGGTCTTCAGTGCCGGGATAGTCTCATTTTTTTCTGTTCACTCTTACAATTTCCAAAATACAAAACTGCAACTGAATTATTTTGTTTAGTAGCTGTTTTAAATTAAAGGATTTTGCTACATTTAAAAGAAAAAAAAATGATTAAAATGCAAGAGATCCACCCAATACAAATGTGATTTGAGTCTGACACAGAACTATGACTTTAAAAGAAATCTTCCTGTGCAGGTTGCCTGTCTCAAATCTGCTGAAATACACACTTCTGATGTGATTAAACATTTTTATTTTATTTGAGAGGGAGTTGTTTCATGGTGATGCCAAGACATGCCATTTTTTTTGCACACATTTACTTTCGTTGAAAGTACTTACAGTCCAAGTTGATCCCTGAGTAGCCTGCCGCTGGGGAGAATAATACCAACAGAATGAGGGAAATAGTATAATAATATGCTCATCCTGCCATGTGGTATTATGCAAATTAACTTTGCGCATGCCTGGGCAGCTTCAGTCAGCGAGGTCCTGAATGGGAAAGATTTGTACTAGATGTTCATGAGGACCGGGTTGGCAGCCAATGAGGAGGAGGACCATTTGTTCCGTGGGAGGAGCTCAGTCTCTCCTCTCTACTCTAAATTTATTGTAACAGGTAGTTCAACAACCAAACAGGTCCGCAACAGCAGCAGCAACAACACAGACGACGCGAGGAGGAGATTCCTTTCACAGCATTTCAGTATCTGGACATGCCCGGACTGCGCTCTTCATCATGCTGAGCAGGAAGGGCTCCTTTGCGGGGACGATGAGCGCTGCAGCTGGGGTGGACCGCGGCAGGGTTGGGGAGAGGCTGCAGGCTGCTTTGGCCGGGCTGCAGGAGCTACATCTGCTCCGGGACCGACAGAGTGACATGGTGAGCTGGGCGCTCCGGGTGGACCGAGAGGAGCCGGTCACTTCGGTGCGCACTGAGCCGGAGGGGCCGTGGATGATGGGGTCCGAGGAGCAGCGACTGGAGGCGACCCTGACAGCCCTGAAGCAACAGCTGGTAGGAAGCAATTTAGATAAAGAGCCATAAAGCCGAATATTTACAAGATCTCTCAAGTGGGACTCTAATAATTGTGCTTTTTTTGTTGTTCTTATTGATCACAATGGGACAAAATTTGGCATATTTGATGTTTTTGGCTGAACAGTTTATTTGTCCTTGGAATACAATCCTCCGTTTGGCTCTCACAGTCAGCTGATGCTCATGTGCATTCCGCCTTCAATTATTACCAGACACACTTTTATGCCCTCAGCTGGGGGTAGGAAGTAGGTTGGGTGTCATAAATCAAGGTTCACTGCAGGAGTTTTGGTTGTGTGTGCGCGGGTACAGAGTGCATGCACTCTGGCCATTATCCACTAATCATTAACCACTAATGTCAGGAAATAAGAAAAAAAGATGGGAATTTTGCAGCAAATGAGAATCAGTGAGAGTCCTGAGAGGCCCCTGAGTGTTGGAGGCAGCTGGCTCTGCACAGTTTTCCATGACAAGCTTTTTCCATGTAGACCACATTCACAGGAAGAGGTGCTGTGCTTGACATCTTAGAATTAAGCAAATGCATCAAAGGAGGCACATGATTTTTAAAAAAAAGGGGGGGAGGGGGGGGGGGGGATGTTGGACTATGTTAAGTTAACTGCTTCAATGGTAAAATGTAGTTTAATTAGAAATTCTAATTAATGTGAATTCCACTGTTTTACGGTATATGTACTGAAGTCATTTGATTCATCTTAAATGAGCATTGCTGCAACTTAATTTTAATGAATTTCAATGTGAAGCTAGCTTCCAATTGCTTAACTAAAGTGTTGTTTTACCCAAACATCAAATGTAAAACATGATGTATTTGAGTTACCCTTTATTTCTATTTCTTTACTCTATAATCTGACTCAAAGAAAGCTACGGTTGAGTTGCAGTAGAAACATCTGAGGAAACACGTATGGCATTACACACAATACTAAAGAAGCAGTAAATTTAATTTTCATACTTTTACTGAAGTAAGACAGCCAGTTATGAAGGAACAAAATATAATGTTAATTTGATAGAATCCACAAAAGTTAACTGCTTTCACCAAACCAAAAATATGAGTATGATTTATTCAAAACAGTACTTTTTCCAAACTACAGCTCAAATGCCAAAAATAGGCTTTAAATATGTTTTACCTCCATACATAATGAAGTCACTTTAAAAAAAAAAAAAAAAACTGATACCATTCTAAAAACTTTTTTTTTGTTGTATAACTAGAAACCACCTGATCCGACATGACCTTAAAAGAGGATGAAACGTTAATTAACTGGTGCATTTTGCAGGCTGTGACCCCAGATTCCATTTTAAGAGCCACTGTAACAGTAAATACTCTCCAAAGCAACCAGTCCTTCATCCCAACCCCCAAGCTCTCCACCTGTAGTCGTTTACACAATGGCCAGGCCCTCGCTGTGGGGGAGAAATGAGTTACCCACCACTGCTTCTTCCATGCTCCCCCATGTCCTGCTGGGGTTAATCATCAGCCACAGCTGAGTCGCTTTTGTTTTTCTGATGGCTGTACATTAGAGCCTCTTATATCTAAATAACAGACCTTGTTTTAATGAAATTATAGCACCGCTGACATATATTTCTGCGTAATTGTATACATGAGGAGCTTCACTCGTTCTGATTTTTTATTTTTTTTTTTAAAGACTTGCCCTTTGGTATAGATTGCACCACTCTTACACCATTTTCTTTGGAGCTTGACTAAAATCGCATGTGTCTGTTTTACAGTCTCGTCTGAGGAAACAGGATGTCGGCCTGAAGACACACTTGCAGCAGCTGGACCAACAGATCAGTGAGCTGAAGCTGGATGTGAGCAAAGCCTCTACAGAGCAGCTGGAGAGTGACAGCAGGCCGAGTTCGGGTGTGTAGGCACACAAAAGCCCTCTGGTTGTTTACTGTATCGCAAGTATTAAAGCATACAACCAACTCATGTCACATTATGGTAAATACTGAGAAAACCACTAATGTGCAACCTTTCCTGTTCTCTCCAGGTTTCTATGAGCTCAGTGATGGTGGTTCCTGCTCCCGATCCAACTCCTGCACCTCCGTGTACAGCGAGTGCCAGTCATCCTCTCAAACAAGCCTTCTCCTCATTCCCATGAGCCCTGATAATTGTCAGATCAGCCCTCCCCCAAAAGTCGACATATGCCGCCGCCGTTCTGCTGACGAGAGCACCACCCAGCCCAACCCTCCACGGGCCACAGGCCTCCATCTGGGCAGCAGCAGGATCCGAGCAAGCAGTGCAGGCGCTGAACAGGCCCGACCCAGACCTGTGTCAACAGGTAATCTCATCCCTCACTCTCTTATTTAAGACAGTCTCTCCTGCAACACCAACTGTTTTTACTAAGCAACTTTAGTGCCTAATAACATGTCATTTTTCAGTGGATGAGTGATTCGAAAAGTTAATGACTGTTTTTATGTTCATTAGGTGATCTTGACCGAATGATGGCTCAAGGACTGGGCTATTACAGATCTGTGGATGCAAGGAAACCCCCAATATGCCCAAATCTGAAGACCTCAATAGTGGACCCCAAGTTTCAGCGCAATCTAGAGTCCCACAGTGGGACTGAGGTGTACCAGTACCCTAGCCCCCTGCACGCTGTGGCTCTCCAGAGCCCAATCTTTTTCAATATGACTGAAAAAGGCACTCCTGGACTTCTAGACGGCCAAGGACCCCCAGTAAACAGTTATGACACCCTACAGAGGACACAAATGGGGTATGACACCAAGACCCTGGGTTACATTGATAAGCTCCTCCAGCGCAGTTTCAGCAAAATCCAGAATGAAACAGCCACAGAGACTCTGGAGACACGCAGCAGCTATCACAGGAGGCCCACTGAAGTTGCAACTCTGTTTTCTGTATTTCCAAAAGATGTGCTGCAGCCTCCTTCAGCCAAGACCACCAGTATCATCCCACTAGATAGCAGCCATAAGAGACACTGCATGACATACTCCAGCCAAGAGACAGCTGATAAAACAAGCCACACCTCAGTGAGAACCCCAGAGGTTTCATATCAGCATTCCTATTCTGCTGCCATGAGGGAGTGCAGCTCTGATGAGGTCACCTATTTATCCTTGAAAAAGAACGATAAACCTCAAGGAGAATATCCAAGTGTAGCAAGGAGCTATTCTGAGAAAAGATGTGGAGATAATCCAGAGCCAAGGCCACAGGAGAGAAAAGGTCACAGGCAAAGACCAGTGATGGCCCATAGCTCTAGCACAGAGGAGGGTCAAGGCTTTGAGGTTCATAGTGGCCACACAGCTTCACCTGAGTTTGTCCATGCCAAATTCGTCCCTGCTGGATCTCAGAGGGTCAAAGTCAGGCAGACAGGCAGTAAAACCAAAGCCGTGAGGCTGAAAAGAAAAAGCAGTGACAAGCCTCGAGCAGTGAGGCAACAACACAAATACTTCTCCAGGGACAGGACCAGAGAGACCAGCGGTGGGACAAAGTGGGAGCAGAGAATATCCGGACAGGGAAAAGTGACTCAGAAATTTGCCAACTGTCTCTCAGAGGAGCACAGACAGGGGTCGGGCTCAGACTCCAGCCTCTGTAGTCCGGCACTCATGCACAACCACAAGGTCCACCCAAAGCCTCAGTCCATCCCTGCTGTCACAAAGTTCAGCAAAGGCCGCAGACTGCAGTGCTTGGAGTATGAGCAGGCTGTAGACCTGAGGAAGAGGAGGCAACCAACTGCCAAATGTCCGTCTGATGTGGACATGTTCCAGGCCTTGTGTGCTCAGCGTCAGAGGTCAAAGGAGCTCCACACTCAGGCACTAGGGGCCATGCAGATGGTCCGCAGTATGAGCGCCAGACCAGGCCAGTGGATAGGACCTGCACGCTCCTTCCAGTCCTCCATGTCCTCTAGTTCCTTCCTCTACACTCTCAATGCCAGATACCCTCCAGCACCCTTTAACGTCTCCAGTCACTACCCACCCAGATGTGAGTCTGAGTATTCAGCCGAATGCGCCTCACTATTTCACTCCACCATTGCTGAAAGCAGTGAGGGGGAGATCAGTGATAACACCACCAACCGCTTTGGAGATAGCGAGTCCAGCCAAAGCTTCCAGTCCCTTTCAGACTCTGACAGCAGCTTATCGCTGGACGAGGGGGACCAGGTGGACAGCCACGAGGAGGAGGGAGGTCTGGTGTGGGCCGAGGCTGCAATGGGGCCCACCGCCGCTGGACGTCCCCTCAAGCAGCTCCCACCTCGCCCCGAGCCATCCACCTGCCGCATCAAAGCTTCCCGAGCCCTGAAGAAGAAGATTCGACGGTTTCAGCCTGCCTCCCTGAAGGTCATGACCCTGGTGTAGAAGTGTTCCCCCGAGGGCAGAATGACAACTCTTGGCAGAAACACAGAGAGTTGTGGGAAATACTTTTCGCATATGGTCTCTCAGGAAAACACTGTTAATCTAAGGGGGAATGCATTTTGTGCACTGATTGCTTTGTTGAAAATTTTAAAAAGTTTCACAAGCATTGAACTTGAGTGTGCAAAAAGTGCATTGTATAAAAGCATGCATAACACAATTACTACACTTACCTTTTAACTACTTATATTGCTGTAATTAAACTTTTCCATAGCATGTGGCTGCATTGGACAATTACATGGACATTTCTGTCATATATTTGTCTGTCCCTGAGAAATAAAAAGAATCTTTACATTTCTTATGCCAAATAATTGTGTATTTTCAAATATGTTTTCATTTTGTTCATTTGATTGTAATTATCCTGGTTTATCATATTAGAATAAACTGATATTTAATGTCTATGTGGACAGTTTGTACTGAGTTTTTATGGTTCGTTCTGTTCCTGTACATTTAAACAGCCAAAATCAACAACATTAGTTTATTTTTTTAAGAGCTACTTTCAAGCTGTGATATTAAAACCCACAAGCTTTCTTTATCAGTGAGTAAGCAATGCTGGCAACATCACGTCTGCCAGCTTCTTTTTTCCTCTGGTCGCTATTCATCAGTCATGATGGAAAAATCTCCACCTAATCCTCACAAACGTCCCACTGAGGCTGATCAGTTTAGCATAGATAACTCTCACAGGTTCTTATCTGGTTTCCTGCCTCTGCCCGGCTGTTGGTTTAATAAGTTGCCACTTCAACAATCAACCCAGACAGTCTTGTTTAATTAGAGGGCGAAACTTATCAGCCGCATTCATTTAAATGGAAGTTAACACTTGCAATGAAGTACTAAGGTACACAAGTCAGTCTCCTACAGTTGCACAAACAGACATTAAGATGATGGTCAGAGTAGTTCAGGTTTCTGTGGAGAGACTTTGAAAACAGTTGGCGTATATGGCAAAGGGGCACACAGGATTTAGAGGGAGTGACAGATGATAAGAGGCTCCTCATTTCTGAGCTGCCATGAGAAGCTTAGACAGTGGACAGCTGCACAGAGTTGCCCAATAATCTCATTTCTAAAATCTGCCTTGGTATCTTTCCATTAAAATTCTTTCAGAGACAGGGTGAGGAAAAGGGCAGTCATGAAGGTAAGCAGCCCAGTGACTCTCCTTCCAAACATCAGCTCTCTCCACCGTGGTCATACGTAGAAATATTTTCTCCCATCATGAAGCAGCAGTGACCTTAAAGTTCCTAACTAAGAAGCTTACGGGGCTGACAAATATTTTCAGCATTTCATCAAATTTTACTTTGAAGTTGTGTTCCCTGCAGATGCAATCACTATGGAGACCATTATTTTTAAGACTCATGAATCATTTATTTGGTAAGACTCTCGCGCTCTTTTAACTCGAAATGTTTTCACAGAAGAAAAGGCAAAAATAGAAGAGCTCGCTGAAGAGTACATGTTAATTCAGCAGCATCTACGCCTCTATTCATTAAATACAGCAGGTTCATAGGGCAAAAGAACCGCAGGAACATCAAAGATAGCATTTTAAGTTTGGAAAGTTGCAACAATTGGAACAGCTTATTAGGATTTATGCATCCAGCTGACCTCTGTCCTCTCTGTACAAGCAACAGCAAGTGGTCAGTGGGATTAGCGCTGTAGCCTTCAACCCAGCTCAGAGGGAGAATGACGGGCGCTGGACTTGCCTTTGATGTTGAGAGTAGGAGGACCATGTCGGCTTGACCTTGTGTGCCTGCTGACCTTTCCAGTTGTAGAGCTAGCTCATCTCCAAGGGAACATCTCGTCACAATAGAGAGGTCAGGGACCCTCGTTGTACGCTTGCTGTCTCTGCTCTTTGTTTTCTTGTGCTTCTCCGTGTTTTGACATGTCCATCATTTACTTTGTTTTGGCTCATTGTTTGTGACAAGATAAGTCCATCTGTCGATTGCAAAACCACTTTCCTGCTAAAGCTTTTACTTTCTAAATAAATTCACTGCATGCTTCTTGTAGAATCAGCATCTTCACCACATAATATAATTGAATGCTGGATAGAGGTAAATCAGCTCGGGGTTGAAACCTCAGGGGGTCAATCTGAAAATGGCAACTAGAGCAGCAGGTGAACAGGTGCACACTTGTTAGGATTTGCTTGTGATATTTTATAGGGTTGGAAGTTGAGTGCATATGGGGGATTACTTGTGCATTACAAAAAACAGACAAAAAAACAACTCCCAGTGGATGGGTGTCAGGTCATACTGAAACACTACAGATGTCATGTGGGATCTCATTTCACAGCCGGTGCTCAGACTTTGATATCTTTTACAGTACAAGCTTACACATGGGCAAATGATTACATCCGATCCAGATTGCACATTATCAGCTGACACCGTACCTGCCAGTAAAACCTGAGGTCTTTTAACCTTTACAAACACAGAGGCATAATGATTTTATAACATGCTGTGTTACACTTTTTTTTTTAAAAATGACTATTACTTTTGTCACAGTCTTGTTAGAAATAGTGTCTAAGCAATAAAGGTAACGAAAGTAGCCAGCAAAATAAAAATAACAGATTAGCTCTCCTCGCACGCACCCTCTAAAGCTGCCCTGCGGAACCTGCTTGTCAACGTTCGGTCAGATATAAATAGGTGCAAGTGTAATGCCAATCTACTCATACAGGTAAACAGTGAGGTAATGCAGAGAATGCATGCCACTGAGCTGCTTTGGACAGTGATCTAATTACACATCAGGTCATTGGACTTCTTCTTCTGCAAACACACATCCCTGTCAGGCAATATCCTGCTTAGACATTTATATCGATCCAAAAAAAAATATTAAAATCAGAATTTTTCTAAACCTCTGATTCAGCATTGTTCAGTAGATTTAACAATTCTGTGACAATGTGACAGCTGTAAAACAAGAAAAACATTGCAAACAAACGTAAGTAACAGCAGAAAAGTGAGTAAGAACAACAAAGGGTGTACCACAGACACGTACTAATTAAACTTTGACTTGGTTCACTCTGGACCACAGATGGAGGAGGGGTTCTCTTTTCACGTGTGCATGAGGTAATCCCAAAACCCAACAGCCCTGCCCAGTCTGTCTCAATGCTCAAAACACACAATACCCCTTCAAGCTGTCTGTGTTATATCTCTTCATCACAGTTATTTCAGCATGCCTCTTAAACCATGTAATACTCTATTTTTCCTACTTACACCGCTTATCTTGTAGTTCTCTTATAGTTTCTTGTCTGGGTGTTTTTACCCTTGTTGTCTTAAATATTTTTCCCCGGTTGATGCTGAGGCTGTGCTGCTTCCCTGATGTGAAAACTGGAGAGAGGGTGTTGGGCTTCAGATATAAGATGCAGATAGACCATGTTGACAAGTATGAGCTCAGAAACTCATTACCACCCCGATGAGAGGAGCTTTCCATTCCTGCCCCAAAAGCGCGACCCTGGAAGCACAGGAGACACCATGCTTTGCTTTTCTGGGGTCCTGCAAAGCAAGCAAGGATTATGTCTAGCTTTTACATTACAAATATCTGCGCCGAATCAGATTTGCTCATCGAAAACATACAAAGCTATGGTCCGCTTTTGTCACCGGCACATTTGGCTTTAAAGTTTTCAGGGCAGAATCATGTAAGCTGTATGATTGCCGATTAAAATTTCATTTGTTTAGGTGAAAATTACAGCACAGATTGAGTCAAATTTCAGCACTGGCACAATGAGAATACAGTCAGATGTTACAGAATATTTGGAAGCAGTGTCAAACACCATGGTACAACCAGCTAATTTTATTTTATTTATTTACTTAATCTTTATTTAACCAGGTGAGTCCCATTGAGATTCACATCTCTTTTACAAGGGAGCCCTGGCCAAGAGGGCAGCAAGAAGAATTACAGCAATACAACACAAAAAATAAAATAAATAATATATCATCACTAGTTAGAATAGAATAGAATAGAATAGAATAGAATAGAATAGAATAGAATAGAATAGAATAGAATAGAACTTTATTGATCCCTTTGGTGCAAACCTTAGGGAAATTATTGAGTTAGAGTGTAATTTCAATGTTTGGATCAAATATCAATAAAATACTTACTGACTGATGTACTTACATGTAAATACCGTAGGAGAAGACGTAATAATGAACAAGACAGTAATGTGTTGCATTAAGTTAAGTGTTACAGATATTTTGTCAAGGCCATAGATTTTGTGTTGCAAAGTTAATTGAGCTTACAATATAATCTCTTTGCATATAGTGAAGCTAGTGAGATTCACCCATCTCCTATGTGACACTCTGCATGGAGGATGTGCTCTGTAGTGTGTGGAGTGACTTTTGTCCCTTTGTTTACTGTACATATGAATGGGGCTGGACCGGAATGTCCAATCTCATGAATGTCAATTGTCTGAGGCCTGAGTTAAGGAGCAAGCTTCTATGGTTGTGTGGAAGTGGACAATAGAGATAGAGAATGGAGAGACAAGGAAATAGAAAGCCGAGGAAACGAACAGGAAGAGATGAGCAAAGTGGAGACAAGTGTGAAAGATGGAGAGCAACGGAGACAGGGCATGAAGATGAAGAAAATGGAGGGGGGGAAAAAAAGCCACAGGGAGATGCATGATGTTCCAATCCTGCAAGGCTTTGCTGGCCCTTCCTCAACCAACACCTGCTCCTCTTTAAGCACATCCTGTCATTTAATACCTAATCCCTTCATTCACTCCAGTGTGTTTGCTAACCATTGTCTCAACTCCCTTCAAGCTGTGGTCAAGAGGTGGTTCAAAAGTTCGCAGTGTATGGAGAGCACGGACTCACAGCAACAGAAGGCATTGTGAGTGTGTTCGCCCCTGCCAAGCAATTGTCTGAGACAGAGGGAGACACTGTGGATGTAAGTGAAGGGGTCTTGGGGTTCTAGCTTTTGAAGTCAACATCAGTTACTTTTCTTATCTTTTTTTTTTTTTTTACCATGAACAAATCAGCAGTAGGCAGCTAATTGGGTGGACCACAGTGTGCTGTAACACTCCCTGCATTATTAAAAGACATAAAGATCATATGTTAGAAATAAAAGATAGATAGAGATATCTGTTGGAGTACACAGTTAAATAGTAGCATTAGATGCAATGGCAACAACAAAATGATGATGTCTAGTAGGTATAGTATTAGGCTAGTATGTTACCATGGCAACATTTGCTCATTAGCAGTTAACACAAAACACAGCTGAGGCTGGAGTCAGTGTGATTCAGGTGTTGGGTCGTAAATTAAAGTACTGAGAAATGTATATTTTGATAAGATGGCAATAAATAAATAAAAGTCAGGGAACCGCTAAAGTTAAAATTATCACATTTGATTTAGTGTTTAGGGAAATTAGTTTATGGAAAATAGAATTCATGACAATCCATCCATAAGACGCTTCACTCTAAACTACAAATGTCA